ACGATGTTTTGTTTTAGTTCCTTTATTTCTCTTTTAATTAAGGCATCAGTTAATAAGTTTTGTGTAGTAGGCCCATTTTCTTCTTTCCAATTTTTTGCATTCATGTAATCATTAATTCCTACGCATATCTCATCCCAATGTTCCATTTTGTAACTTACTTGACAAGAAGTTTTCAAATGATTCAGTAATATCTTTCTTGATTTTTCTCTATCTTCTTGATCAATTTTTCGTCTTTGTTCATTTTTACTTAATTGAGGATTGTTCACATATATGATCCCATTGCAACGATTAATTAAACTAGCAATTTTTCTATTTTCATTTATTAAATCTCTTTTATCTTTATCACACTCTTCAGGGTTATCAAAGCATTCAAAATTATTTCTCACAATGGTCGTGATTTTAATGATTCTTTTTTCGAAAATCTTCTCAGTTAATTCAAAAAGGTCTCTTTCCTCCTCAGTAAATCTTCCTCTCACTACCACAAGTACTTGGTTTATCCCTCTTTTCATTGAGTGAATGGCCTCGGCCAACTTTAACATGACCTTATCGTGTGATAAATTAGTATCACCGACTCCAATAGTATCAATCACTCGATATTTTGTCCCTTCCAATTCAAAATCTTTGATTTGGAAGTCTTTAGTTTGGCTAACTGAACTTCCACTTTCTCCAAATTCATCAGATTTGCTGATTACATTAGCCAAAGCAGATTTGCCGCTTCCTGTTCTTCCAATTATTAATACATTATTTTCTATATCTTCCTCGTGGGTTTCAAATTTATATTTGCATTCATCTATTTCTCCATCATTATTATCTTTAATACTTGTGACTTTATTCTCAACTTCTTCCTTTGTTAGATAAAACCCTATCAAGTCAGGAAATCTTTTAACTGCTAATATTTCCACTCCGTCTCCACCATCATCTTCATAGTTAATTAATCTAATTGCATATAGGCGAGCAACTTTATTAATAACTATCGCGTATTTTTTATAGTGGGAAAAATAAATAACATCCTTAATTTTGCCACGAATATTGGCTTTGTTTATTATTTCTTTGTCTTTTGGTGCTGGTTTAAACTTTGGCATAATATTATAGAACAAAATCTCAAGTTGACAGTTAATGAAAATAAATTGCTTTCAAGGTTGATTGTTGCGTTTCTGATTGATTACTCTGCCCGAAAAGCAAAAATGAAATGATTCTGCCTAATAGAGATTTTTTTTTCGGGCTTTTAACTCCGTGATAGTAAGAATCTTTATCAAAAAGAAATGAATGACAAATTTCATTATTTCTATATAAATATTAGCTTTGATTGCATGTATGAAATTCTAACTACCAGTACATACATAAGATTCAAATTTCGTATGTAACGCAATCCCCAAACATCGAATTCCATATTAATATGGTTAGAGGTTGGAAATCGACTAAACTTTTTTTGAACAACTAATAGTCGACTATTTAGTCAATTACTATTACTATTACTATTACTATTACTATGCTAATATTATTATTGTCTGGCCAATTACGATTTTCGTGTTTTATCATTCAAAATGGAAATTTTCTATGCGGAAGAGTATCAATACCATCAATGTGATGATGACGACAATAGTAGTGGTGTTGTTGATGATAATTTACATGCGAATGAATAAACACTTCCAATACAAGGTCCAATAGTTCATTGGTTTCAAGTTCCAATGATTTAAGCGGTGGTTCCAGAAGACCTTTAAAAAACGAATCGTAACACATGTTTTGTGTAGAAACATTTTGAAAAAGTGAAGATTCAAATAGAAATAAATTCGTAATTTGCAAATTAAAAAAAAAAAAAACGAAATATTATTATTATTATATAAAATTATGTATAGCATATGCCCAATAAATTTCTTGTGCCATTCATAGAAATATTAAAATTTTTAGTGTGTGGAATGAAGTCGAAATAAGATAAGAATGAGGATTTGACTAATTTTTTTACAAAAAACCATTGTATAACAAAACACAAGCTAAAGATGTTACCAACAGAGAAGTTTATATAGATCCATACGAGGAGAAATAATATATCTTAGAAACGCCATTTTCTATAAGATCATGACGAATTGGCTATAGGAACGAGCAATGAAAATTAAGTGGGCTAGTAACAGGACCAGTGAACTCTATTGTATTAATAGAGTATGCACATGATGGTAATGCCATTAATATAGTAATAGTATTATTTTTATTATTAATTGTATGGAAACTTATTATTATCTATTAAAAATCTTTTCCGTATATTTTCTTTCGCAAAATAATAAAAATCAAAATGCGTTCGGATTATGTTTAGTGCCCGAGTTTGAAACACATAAAGGCATATCAATATTGGTACGTAGTGCAACTTTACATATACACCAGTTGTGTTTTTTTGACTTTAAAGTTAACTGCGCGCAATAGTAAAATACACAATAATATTTAATAAAATAAAACAGTGATGTTAGTAAGTAATAGGCATTCTTGTTTGTTAATCACGGAAACTTCTTCTTTGTCATTATCATTATCATCTTCATCATCACATGGATATTTAACATCTACTTTACGAAAACTTAGAATTTGTGTATAGTCAGTTAGTTTCCTGGTTTAAAGAATCGCAATAAATTTTATTTCCAGTGCTCTAAAGAAAGTATCGGATTTATACAAAAGCACGTATTAATGTCCGATGGGAAAAATATATTGTTACAAAGGTCATAATTTAGTTGTTTGTTCCTATTATCTATCCGATAATTATCATTTATATGCGATTATACATTATATATATTTTAAATCATGTTAATATTGAAAATAAATATAAAGAGATTTTAAAATCAAACAGTATTCACGCAATTTCTGAACCAAATTCTACCAACTCCCAAATCGTTGAAAATACTCCAACTCCAAATGGGTTTATCTCCGCTTTCTTGCAAGCTTATAATGAACATCAGCATTTAAAAATTTCTCCGGATGATGTTTGGTTAACTATTGCTCAAGGAGTCAGTCATCATATTAATTTTAATTCAGAAAAATATCATTATATGTTCGTTGATCATGAAGGTAAAAAAGAAATTTGCATTAACGTTAGAGGTATTTTAAGTCCAACTAGTAGTGGTATTGTAGGAAATTGGAACAAAGCAGTTGAGATTTTAACAGATGCAACAGATAGACAGGTTAAAGAAGAAGTCGAATTAAAACAATTATTAGAATGTAATTTTACGACTACAACTCCTACTACAAAAACTTCTAGTAATATCGTATTATTAGATACTGTTAAAGCCTATTTTAGTTATGGTATGACGCTTGGATGTGGAATTCCAAAGATTACTTTAACTGGTACTTTAGAAGATTGGATGAAAATTCAAGAAAAGTTATTTCGATTACGTAAATTAAATTTGGATTTAGACTTTTGGTTAAACAAATTAGATCCAATTATTTGGCAATTTGTTTCAACTTATAAAGGTGAAATATATGAAGATTTTTGGAGTAAAGCTTTCACTTATAAACGTTATGGCTCTGGTGGACAAAAATCTTTAACTGGTTGGATTGCTACATTCTTTCCTTACAACCGTGCTGGCCATCCTTTAGGAGGAATTGTGAACTTATATGATTTACCTTACGGTCGAGTTAGTGTACCTTTTGGATTTGATGATTTAAAGTTACAACTTATTACTGGTTTTATAGGCTACAAACAAGAAATCGTTAGCAACAATGATGGTAATATAGAAGTTATTGTTTCGCCCGTAATTAGTTGGGTGGTTGCTGACAATAATGAAGAACTAGCTGAAAAACAAGCCGATGAAGAACTAGCATATTAATTTTATTATATCATTTTAATTTTTTTTTCTTTTTTTTTTATTTAAGTAATATCAAATAATCATATACATATGTGAATAATTAAATAATAATAATATTCTATATATTTGTAATTGATTAAATGCCCATGTACACTTAAGCCATTAATCATGATATACTTTCCTTTCAACAAATTAAATCGTAATTTAATTTGTGTTGGGAATGGAACCCTTGGATTTTATTACCTTGATATTACTGAATCCTTGGTTTATCCATCTTGAGATTGATTGTTCAGTCTTTTGGTGGAATTATCATTTTAATTTTTATGTTATATAATACGTGACTTTGTCATCGTTACCATCATAATTGTTATTAAAATTATAATGTTTATTTTCCTTATTTTCACATGTATATGGATTACACTATACAGTCAAACCTTGTCACAACGAATTTTGTCACAACGAATTTTTGTCACAGCGAATTTTGAGATTTTTTTTTTTTTTTAATAATAAAAAACTTTTGTTACACCGAATTTTATTAATAAATCGCATTATACCGACAACGAAGTTTTGGTAGAGATTTTTTGATATAGTTACCAAAAAAAATGTACTAATAATTATTTCTGCGGAAATTGTAAAACATATGATTATTTTTGTGAAAATCATTATTTTTGCATAAATTGTAATAAAACAAATGTATGATTATTATTTTTGCAAAATTGTATATAATAAAATGAACGTATGATTATTTTTGCATAAATTGTAATAAAACAAATGTATGATTATTATTTTTGCAAAATTGTAATAAAAATTGTAATAAAACAAATTATTTTTGCAAAATTGTAATAAAACATATGATTATTTCTGTGATTTATGAAATTCTAAGATATAAATACAAGTCTTGTTGTTTGAATGGTTTGTTATGAATTTTTAAAAAAATGTCACAAGAACAATCATCATCATCTAAAAAATGAAACTTTATTACAGCACAACAAAAAAGAGAGATTTGCTTATTAAAAAAAAATAAACCTGAACCAAAAAACGTTGAATTAGCAGCAAGATATGGTATCAGTCAAGGTCAAGTGAGTGACATACATCAGGAAATTAATTTAGCGTAAACTTGCATAAATCTTACGATGCCGACGTAATATTGTGTGGTTTTCTCATAGATCATACTAATTAATGGTTTCCTCACTTAATAGTGTGGACTTTGAGAAAATGTCCTTCACAAATGAAAATCTTTTTCGGAGTTCTTTTGGCAAAGCCCTTAAAACAGAACTTCTAAACTTATTTACTAGCCCTGATGAAATTGATCTCATTCCCCCTATTCAAGATCAAGAAGAATTCAATTATGCTTTTGCAAAATGTGGTCAGTTGTGGCAGTATCTTGTAAAAAGGCAAAAAGAAATGAAACAGCCAATTTATGAGAGGCCTGTCATTATCTTCATTGATGAGTTTGACAGAATACTTCCTTCCACACACACAGACATTTGCAATTCATGCCTTGCAAACTTTCATGCCATTAAGATTAGTGCCATTTATGTCATCAAGTCCATTGTTGGAATTGGTACCTTTAGTATTCTAGATCTGAATCCAACTGATTGGACTTTATCACCCTTCAACATTAGTGATTCATTCAGCAATCCAAACTTCAAACAACAAACCTTTACAAGGAGTTTATAAAAGATTATGAGCTAGAAATCAAAGAACAGGTTATTGAGGATATCCATAAACAAACAAATGGGTATGTGATAGGTCAGAACTTAGTTTGTTTATTCCAAGTTTTCCATTTTTTTTTAAATAATCTTTTTTAAAACAGACATACTGGTCTCATAAACCTCTGTGGGCAAGCAATCCAAAAACTTATGGAAAAGTGCTTCCAGGATGGAGTAGATTTGGCAAATCAATTGGATTATGTAACTTGAATCTCTTCAAAGTTGAAACTTTGGGTGTAGAAATTTCTAAATACTGTACATTTGACAGGATGATAAATATCCTCAAGATGCCTGGTGCTGAGAAGGCTATGAAGTTGCTTTGTATTTACTTCTTGGGATCACTCAATGCTGAAGTCATTAGAGGCAATGAAAACTGCAAATTAGCTGAATTCCTAGTGGCAGAAGGTGTCTTAATGTGTGTTGGAGATATTGAGGCATCACAAAAATTTCAAATGTCCTCTCCTTTTGTGGATTCATTGATCTGACAACATGTTATTCCTGAATTGTACCCATCCATTCCAAAGAAATGTATGCCCACATGAAGAAATGGTACCATGGACACTCTAGACGTCTTATTAAATGTTATTCCTTTTTTTGAAAAAGACATTATTGGTTATGCTTCTGCTCATTCATTCAAAAAAGCACTTGTGCCTGTAGGAGGTTATAACAATGTAAATGTTCCTAGAGAAAGTGTGTATCAAACAGAGTTGGATAGAATCTTGGTAAAATGGCTTGGTACACAAAGAAACTTTGAGGTCACAGGGCAATGGCATTTAACACAGCCTCCAAAGAAAAAGAATAAAGGTGGTAAACATCAATATTGTGACATAGTGATAATGGGACCTGATAGTTCTTCTCAGCCAATAGTTATTCTTGAGCTTTTAGCAACTGGAACACAAAATAATCTTGATGAGCATTATGAATGAGCACTTAAATATACAAAAGAACTTGGCAGACATGTTGAAAAAACATCTAATTATATAGAAACTGCCCTACAATTGAACCTGGGTGATTAATTTCACATGTGCTGATAATGCTACTTTGTCTCCTTACTGGCTATCACTCTCACAACTGAAGCAAGGCCTTCATGTTGCACATTTCTGGCATAATCTTCAATTTACAGATGTGTGGATGAGTGCATATTGGTATGAAAATGGTGAAATAAAAGATATTACAAATAAGCAAGTTCAGTTAAATATTAATGATGAATGATAAATACAATGAGAAAGAAAAGGGTTTAGCATACATATTTCACATTGGCATTATAAATCTCAGTTGCATAAATATATGTTGAATTGTTTGTATCTTGTGTTTTTATTTTCATTTCTCATTTTGGCAATTATCTCATCTTGTATTTCCTTTCTTTTTCTCTTGCTAATATTTGACTACTTACTAGTCATTGTATTTTTTCAATATTTTCTATAATGTCTTTACTAGATTTATTGTATCTTGTATAAACTATTCAAAGTGTTTAAAAAATTGAATTTGTGATAATTAAAGATAATTCCAAAAAAAAATTACAAAGTGAACATAAAATTATATATATAGGGATAAGTGTATATGAAAATTAATAATAAGTATAATGGTTCTAATGAATATCAAAAAGCAATTGATTTTTTAGACAAAGGTTGTGATTGTGGTTATTCTTCAAGAATTCCCAAAGAATAATTTGCAGAATTAAGAGAATCCTTTCAAGCTCTTTCCAAGTCTGAACAGGACATATTTTTAATGGCCCAGTTAAAA